GGGAGAGCCGAGACCACACCGCTGGTGGTCTGGTGTGGCCTGCCTCTGTCCTCCCAGTGTGAAAGTGAACCCTATGCCCAGCGCGCTTTATGCCCAAGGCAATCTCAGTGCGTGGGGATGGTAACGCCAAGCAAGAAAACTGCACAAAGACAGGTAAAACGTGCTGAATGGGCTTCCCAAGAGCTGGTGGCTGGGGTTCCTGCTCCCCCCGGACCCATCTGTGCTCACAGACTGCAGAGGGGGCTCTGGCCCCCCGGGTGCGCCTGCACTCTTTGCCCCATGTACCCGAAGGTGCTGCCGCAGGTGCACGGGAGACGCTGCGTCTGTGAGCCGGCCTGCCTGCTGAGCTGCTAACTCCTGACGGGAGCTGGCTGCTCTGGGAAGTGCAAGTCCGCACCACAGATCCCTGCCATGCCAAGGAAATTCCTGTATAAAATGCCTTTGTGAAAGAAAAGATGACAGTGTGAGAGTTCAGACTTACTCCAGCCAACACCTCCCTTTGTGAACCTCCGTACTGAAAAGCCTCATGCAGCAGGAGCTGGGTGTAGAAAACCAGGCAAAACACTACCCTAACATCAGGGTGAAATGCGTCACTGGTGGCTGATGGCTATTCATGCTCTTCCCTATCAAATGGAAACAATTAATGAATTATTCAGCCTGCTGTATGCTGGACATACCGAGAAGGGAACGGAGCAGGGATGGGCAAACCTCAAACAATGCAGACGTCTGGATGCTTGTCTAGGACAAACCCGAGTTAACAGCTTTGGTCTGATGGGGGAAGCTCAGAGGGCTCATCTCATCGAGCGCTGGCACCAGGAGCAGTCACCCCAGAAGCTTTGGGGAGCTGCAGGGTCTCTGCATTTATCCTCGTGCTTTGCCTTTTCTGAGGATCACAGAAATGCTGCACAGCAAAGCAGAAAACGGAGCCCTCACTCCTCGCTCGAGGGGGAAACAGGGGCATGGGGAGTTACTGTGCCCTGAGCAATGCCTCCCAGGCTGAGAGCATGACAGGTTAAGACATCAGCATGTCCTGCCACTCCCAGTGCCAGGTGACAGTCCCAGCGCCTGCCAAGTCCAGAGTCTCCTGGCCACATCCATGGGCTGAAGGACCAGTGGCTGAGAGGACCAGTCATCCAGACAGCCAAGAAAAGGATGTAAATATTATACAGTAGAAAGATTTCTTGCAACGCTCACAGACTTGAAGACGTTTCAGGCTGTTTGCAGGCTGCGGGGGAGAGGTGCCGCAGGGCCTCTTTGCTCAGGATGGAGCTGCCATGTTCCTGAAGTGTACGGAGGGGAAAATGCACCAGGAGCACTCCTCGGCCACCAAAGCACGCTCAGATCTAAGCACACACCTCAGTCCCACGGCACCAATCTGAGTCAGGGCTGGTATCATCTGGCGTTGGCTACAAATGTAGAGGCCAGGCGAAGAGGTTTGAGGGATGATTTGCTTCTCTCTGGGTCTATTTCTGGTTCCCACAGCTGAGCTGTGGGAGGTTTGGCACCTCTCCCCCATCCTCTGGGTAGAAATGCACTGAGGTGGGTGTGTGCAACACTTTGGTACGGAGAGGCTGTGCAGCTCAGGCTCTGCCACGTCACACCAGGCTCTGCGACAGGACGGGGGGGACATGTGCTCCTAAGACGTGGGCTGGGAACCACATCCTGCACTTTGTGATGGCAGCAGAGAGGATCACGGGCTGGGTGGTGCCAGGCTCAGGGATGAGAAAGGGACCGCTCCATGGGTGCCTGGGAAAGGCTGGCCGAAGGGCTCGGTGCAGCGAGAGGCAGCACGGAGCCGATGCTCATTTGGCCCTGCTTCTGCACAGCCCTACCGGCAGGTACCTGCACCCCGGCCGGGCTAAGCCAGCCCTGGCTCTCAGCTCAGGACATCCCTGAGGAGCAGCCAGCTGATCGAATTTGGAAATCCTATGGTGAAAGGAGGGGGAGATGCTGGGGGAAGCAATGGGAAGCCCCCTCCTTCCAGCTGCTCCATCCTTGTCAGGATTTGGGTGCCAAAGATGGGGAGAGAAAAAGGGGTTACGTAGGCAGAGGCAAGGGCAAATAAGGGAGGGCTGCCCTGGTTTTTGTGCTTCGGGTGCCATCTCCCCAGCACCAGGCTGGATCATGCCCCGACTCGTAACATGGCTGGAAAGTGTCTCCCCAAGAAACAGGGGGTGCAGAGCAGGTTGTCTGAGCAAAGGTACATTTTCAGAAATGCCTGCCTGGGCCAAATGATCCACAGTCCAGCTTTGGAGATACTACCCTCTGCTCACAAAACCTCCCCTTGCCCGGCTCACCCCCTGAGGGCAGAGAGCGGGGGGCAGCACGCGATCCTGCCCTCCGGGCAATGCCCAGGGCAGCTCCTCACTAGAGCGCCTGCACAGAGGGTGGCAGCTCATGTCTGATGGGGGCAACATGAAAATAAGAGGGGAAAAAAGGCCACAGGTCCATCAACAGCCACTGCTAGGGGCTGTGGCTGTGGGGACAGGCAGCAGAGAGCCTGTGGCCAAGGGCGCTTCAGCATCATCCTGCTCAAGTCAGTAATTCTGCAGTGGGTCAGGTGGGAGCGTGTTGCCATCTTCTTTCTCAGTGCTTTGATCTCCATGGTGACAAGGGGAACATGAAATCCAAGTTTAAAATATACTCTGCCTCCTGTTCTTCCCTCGGGCTGAGGAAGAGAGAGAGAGAGATGGGTCAGAGAGGTCAGACGGCGAGCGGCACTTTGCAGAGAAAGTGAGCCCTGCGGTGCTCTGGATTAGGAGGTTATGAGCCCATAGCATTCACAGAGGAGGGAGCTGTGCCTCAGGACACCTAGATGTGACTTTGGAATCACGGTAGGTGACAAGCAAGGATGCCCAGGGGTAATTTGTGGACTAAAACAGGGAGCAGGGAGCTGGTTTGGCTTTTTGTGGGACCTACTGGGAGTAACCCCAGTGCCAGTGCGCTCCATGGCACCATCTGAGAGAGGTGAGCATGATTTTCTTCAGTCCTACCTGTCTGCTGAAAGGCTGAGCCTCGGTAACCAGGGTCCTTTTGAAGCTGGATCTCCTTCAGGGAGAAGATGGAGACATCTAGGCAGAGAGGGCAGAGAGAGAGGGGTCAGTTCAGCTGGCTGAGCTGGCAGCGGTCTGCAAACCCGGAGCCAGGAGGGACGTCAGTGCCCAAGTGCAGCACTGCACCTCATCAGAGCTTTTCTCTTGCACTCCTACTCCTACTCTACATTGTCCTACCCAAACTGTTTCTTGTTCTCGTAGCTCCCACCCCACCCTGCTGCAGGAGCACCTCTGAGTGAGCAAAGACAAGAGGCATCTGAAGAGACCTGGCTGCAAACCACCACTCTGGGGCTGCAGAGAAGCTCTTTGCTCCACATCCCCCAGGCAAGAGGACAGCGTGCACTTACTGTCAGGCAGGAGATGTACCCGCTCTCCCAGGCTCTTGAAGTAAGCGTGCTGCAGGGCTGCCTCCGCCGAAATCCGGCCTTTGGCTTCATACTGCACAAAGCCCCAGAGAAAGGCAATTACATACAGTCTGCTCATGCGAGACAGCATTCCGTGGGCACAGAGGCCCCATACATGATATGTGCACATTTGTGCACCTATGCACATATAAGTACCCAAGCAATTTCATACTCTGTGTGGGTGACAGTGTGTCCAAACACACCATGGGGGTGTGCAGGCAATTCCTGGTGCCATCTGCATGGGCACAAGGGACAGCACATGCTGTGTGACCATAGGAGTGTATTGGCCATGTTGTACCTTATGGATCATCAGGTTTGTGTCCTCCCACTTGTGTTAGAGGACACAGGGTGAAGGATGGTTCACTGTACTTAATGGGACATGGTTTGGGATAGCATATACATAGTGCCATAGCTGTAGGGTCATGGCTTATTCTGCCGTCACAGCTCCCCTCCTGCCTGGCTCCAAAACTGGCGTGAGGGCAGCCAGAGTACCTTCACTTCAGCAAATCCCTTTGCCATCCACCTGGACTGCTCTACCACTCACCAGAAGGAGGTTCATCAGCAGGTCAATGCCTTCTGAGTCCAGCCTGAGAGAAGGAAATAAAAAATGGAGCATTATTGCACCCAGGAGACATTGCAATCGTCAATGCAAGGGACAAGTAGCAGCTGGGACCTCCAGTGCACAGCTGCATTCAGAACCTGCCAGCACCACGAGGAGGAAATGGAACCGGTCCTCCCAGGCTCCCATCTACGACTAGTGCAAGCCCACCATGCCTTACGTGTCCCGGCTCAGGGAGGTACCTTGGGGCGTGATTTATTAACGGCTGGGCTCGGTACTGCGTGAAATTGTAAGCCTTGAACTCCTCGTTGGATGTTATTCCAGGCCAGGTGTCTTCTGTTGGGGTTCCTGGGAGCGGGAGAGAGGGAAACCTGTCACGCTCATTTGGTGCAGAGAGAAAAGCCTCATGCGTGCGAGCGCCAGCGTCCTGCCCAGAGAAGGGGCACGGATTTCCCCGGCAGGCTAGGACTGCACACCCCACGGGGCAGCCGGCGAGGAGCCCCTTGCCCTCACACCTCCGCGGATGGCAAGCCTGCAGGGGGGCTGCAGGCAGCCCCTGCCCACGCCTGCCCACGCCACTGCAAGGCTTTGCCAGCCCAGTGCCTGCGCTTTGTCAGCGCTCCTGCAGTCAGCCACTGCCCTCGCGTGGGGGTTTGGGAGACAGCAGAAGACTCACCCAGCAGCCTGAAGATCAAATGCAGCTCTTCCTTCACCGTGGAGCCGGGGAACATGGGCCGCCCGGTGACCATCTCGTAGTGGATGCACCCAACACCCCTAGGGCAGCAGCAGAGGCCCTGGGTTTAGTGAGGGAGAGGCCCTGTGGATGCCCCACCACCCCTTGCCTGTGCTGAGGTTCCTGGAGAGGGAAATGAACTCCAGGAGCTGTGTCCAGGCTCTGCTACAGGTAACCATTCACCCCTGATGTGGACAGCATACTCCAAAGACCCTGAGTCCCAGGGGACACAGAAGAGTATGGCCTCTGGGAGAGCCCACCACGCTCTGGTGTAACCAGCGCCGTGGGCATGTACAGTGCTGCACTGGCTGACGGATGGAAATGCCCAACCCACCGTCTCGGAGACCCCAGGAAGCTCGGTTTGGAGCCGCAGCTCACCACATGTCGATGGGTGTGGAATATTCGGTAGATCCCAGCAGGACATCGGGGGGTCGGTACCACAGCGTGACCACCTCATTGGAATATGTTTTCGTAGGGACTGACTTGGCTCTGGCTAGTCCTGAGGATGAAAGCATTGGGCATCAAGGAGCTGCACCTCCTTGCAGTGCTGCATCTTCCCCAGAGGCCCACCTACCGAAGTCAGCCAGCTTGAGCTCTCCTCTCTCGTTGATGAGCAGGTTCTGGGGTTTGAGGTCTCGGTGCAGGATCTTTCTCCCATGACAGTAAGCCAGACCACGCAGCAGCTGGAACATGAAGATCTGTGGGTAGGAGAAGGGGTTTGCATTTAACACTGGGACATGGGCACCAAAAATGAGTCTGTCTCAAGGGCTTTCAAACTCATGGCCCACAGCCTGGGGTAAGACACCCTGTAGACAAGGTTCAGCAATCCAGAAAAGGGTCTGAACAAAGTCTGCATGCACAGCAGTTTTATTTAAGGTGGCAGTGACTTCAGAAAAGCTGGTGGAGCATCAGAGCAGGCTGAAAAAGGTCAAAGAAGAGTGACAATGCTGAACTGAAGAGAGAGGGGGTATCCAGCCCCACCCAGCCCTGCAACGCCCTGGACTGCACTCAGGGTCAGCTCCCCACGTGTGAGGAGAGGCAGGGGTACAGGGTCCCAAGCAGCACTGTCTTACCTTCACATTGTGCACACTCATCAGGTTCCCACAGTTATCGAGGTACTGCTTGAGGTCGTTGTCCTGCAGCAGAGAGCACACATCAGCCTGTCCTTCCCTCGGCCCCCATCACTGCAGAAAGGCAGCTGTCTCCCCGTTCCTGCAGAAAGCCCCCCAGACCCACCAGATACTCGAAGACGAGGGTGAGGGAGCGCTCCGTGTGGATGATGTCGTGCAGGGTCACGATGTTGGCATGTTTCAGGTTCTTCAGGAGCGACACTGCAAGGAGAGGAGCCGGCAGGTTGGGGCAGCAGGACCTGGGACTGCCCTCTGCGTGACTGAGGTATACATGTCCACATGCACCACCCATCCCAAATGTGCCTGTGACCTGGAATTGCTCATGAGGGGCTGCGATGGGGAAAAGTCCCTGCTGCCCTCACCTTCCCGTATGGCTGTGCAAGGTGCCCCTTCCTCATGCTCCAGGCGGATTTCCTTCAGGGCAACGAGGTTTTCGGTCAGCTTGCTGCGCCCCTTGAAGACAGTGGCATAAGTGCCCTGGGGGGAGAGAGAAAATACAAGCCATGCAGACTATTTACCAGGGTGGCACAACGCTGATATACTCCATAGTACTCACAGGAAGGATAATTTGAAGCTAAAGAGCGAAGTCTGAAGTCCACAGAAAGAACTGGCCTAAAAATTGCTAGATATTGAACAAAATTGGCTACAGTCTGCCCTTTGCACTTCAAGCCGTCCTTCTAATTTAATTTATATCTTTGCAGGGGTTTCAGAGTCTACTCACCTCTCCCAGTTTGTCCAGTTTAACATAGGTTTCCAGCTTCCCAAACCCGATATCTGACTGTAAGAGAAAAAGGAAAACATCACTGGGAGAGATCTCATCCAGGGATGGCTTCACCTCTGGGGGGAAGGTCAAGGACACTGGACAGGAACAGCTTTGGGAGCAGATCAATCAAGGCAGGTGTTTGCATGCAGCAGTCCAGCTGATCTAAGTACATAAAGTGCATTACTTTCTTGGAGACGCCATGCAGGTGACCAGGCAATCAATCACAAAACCTTCACAACCGACTGGCTGCTTAAGCGAAATGGATGGCACCTGCACCCCATAGCCCAGGGCGGCCGCAGCCTGCACGACCGCCCCTTCCCGCTGCCACCCCTGCGAGTCCCGTCTCCTCTCACCCACCACCCTGACATGCCACCAGCAGCGGCCGAGTCAAACAGGAGCTGTGATGTGCAAAGAGCCGATGCCTTTTCTATCGGAGAAGCCTCGTGGGATCCTGCTGCCGATGCCCAGCCCTTTTCTTAAGCACTTTCCTACGTACTGGTCTTTACTGTAACTCCGTTCGTTTCTCTGTGTGCTGTTCAAATCAAGCACGAAAGGGACATTTTCCCATTTGGAACAGTAACTCTTTAATGTATTGCTGAGACCTGCTCTCACGTACACAGTGAAAGAAGGCCAACCACTTCACAGACACAGATTTAGGTGTCACTCCTAGCAGGCCCCTGAAATTGCAGTTTTCTCTGGGGACGGAGACACCTCCTCGGTTAGTCTGGATTATCTGTGTGCCAGGACAGGGGATGGTTCCCAGCACAACAGGGCCCAAGGCTCAAGGCAAATCATTGCTCCTTAAGCTTAATAAACTGGTGTCATTCTCCCACAAAATATGTTTGCATCGGTGTAGTCCCAGGCCAGCAGCCAGCTCTGACTCCAGCCCAGCTAAAGGCCCCCCCAACCAGCAGTGCTGCCCCTCTCCTGAGCCCAGGGCTCGTGCCATGCCGCTCGCGATCAGTAGATGGAGCTGGATGGACAGCTGTCAATCAGCAGGCAGAGACAGGGGAAGGGTCCCCTGGGCGAGGCACTGAAGGACAACCCTGTACTATGCCCAGGGCTCTGCCTGGAGAACCAGCAGCCCCAGGCGTGGAGTGTTCTTGCAGCCTCCCCTGCGCACCAAATCTGCCCCATGGGAAGGCTTTTTCCTTGCAACAGGCACTGACCAGACCACCAAGCTCTCACAGGCTGCCACATGCAGCGGGTAAGCTCCTTTCTTGCTCACGCAGGCTGGATTTGGACCAGCAAATCCCAAGGGAACATGTTGGGATTTTTTACTCCATTTTGGCTTCCCCAAACCCTCTGCGTACCCTGGCGACAGATGCGTCCTGAGCAGGGAAATGAAGTGGCTGCTGCAATCTGAGGGGCTGTACACCCCCCAAGAGCCATACTGCGAGTTTTGCAGGAGCATGCCTTATTCATGGAGGGGACCATGAATATTAATGGCACATTGCTCTGGCTGTGTCTATTTTATTGATTAGACAGAACAGGCAGGTAAGTGCAAGCTCTCCTTTTCTCCCCCTGAATAGGCATGCCAGGTCTGAAGACGTCTGCTGAGACCTTGCTGTTGTATCTGTATGGCACTGAGCACTCCTGGGCAGCAGGACACATGCTTGCACATTTGTAAACAAGGTACCAGGTTTTTGCTCCTACATATGCTGATGCTCTGCAGTAAAGAAACTGAGATGCCAACACTAATGCAAAGGCAAATTCATTATTTATCGGCATTTGCATTTCAACTAGCAGAGGCTCCAGCACTTGCTAAACCACAGGAGGCTTTCCACCTCCTCCCATTTGGAAGGAGCCAGGCCAAGAGGAAAGTCAGGTACGTGCAGAGGTGAGTGACGGAATGTGCAGGCCTGGGGATTTGCACAGCAGTATGCAGATGTGCACGTATAGGAGTGACACGGGGAAGAGATGCATATGGGCACGGTGGGGGAATGTGTGCTGCTGGGAGTGTGCAGGAAGGGATTTGCATGGGCAGGGATGTGTGTGTGTATCTCAATGACACACAGCGGGTACAAGGGAGCTTGCACAGCAGGGCATGACTGCTTGGGTGGGTGGCAATCAGCACATGTATCTGCTGGCTGGGACCTGTATGCAGGAAGTGAGATGCTGTGCCAGGCACTGCTCGCTCTGCACAGTGAGACTTACGAGGGAAGCCCGTCGGGACATCCTGCTGAGGGGCTTGGGGAACTCTGGGCTCTCCATCTGCAGCTTCTGCAAGAACTCAGGGGGCAGGCGGATGTCCATGGGCAGGGAGAGACGCTTGCTGACATCCTGCAGAGAGGGCCAGAAGAGCGGGTGATGAATGCATCTGGTACAAGCAGGACTGTACAGAGACATTCAAGGGAAAGTGCTCTCTAACCAGAGCTGGTATTAATGGTGAAGCAATGGGGGCAGCATCTGTGGGACCCTTAGTCACAGGAAAAGGGAATGTGCATGTGCATGGGGACATGCACTTGGCTTTGTCAGGAGTCATGTTGAGTGCACCCAAGAGGGCATCAGGGCTCGTGTCTGAGACTGCCAGGTCCCCACGAATCAAACACCAGCTCTTCCAGCCAGCAGGACAGTTCTGACAACCAGAACTTGCTACACTCCTTCTGCCCGCTCCAGCCTGCAGCAGTACTTGCCTCCATGGAGAAGCGGCGCTGGTTGTTGTTGCGGTAGCGCACGGCCATCGGGGACTGGCCTTCCACCTCAGAGGGGGAGATGGGGCTGGTGTCTGCTCGGAAGTCCCTGCCCAGGTGTCCCAGTTGCAGGTGCCCTTGAGCCAGGTCTGAGGACAAAGAGAAAGGAGAGAGAGCTGCTGGAGTGGTAGCAGAAGTGCCAAGGTCCAAGGCACTTGCTTTGGAGAAAAGAGAGTGAGAACAGGGCAGGGAGGTCCAGAGATGCTCTGGGCCATGGGAAAGTCTTCCTCCTTCTCTACATCCAGGAGGCAGAGGGAATACCTGCTTTTTGCTCCAGACTCCTGGTGCATTGCCGCCCTCACAGCTCTGCTCAGCAGCACCCACAAAGCACCATCACGCAGCCCCCTGCAATGAAGGTCTCTTTTGACAGACTCGGAGGGGAATGCAGAGAGGGGAACGCTTCACACCCAAGGCCACCCAGACCTCCCATGTCCCAGTCCAGTGCTCAACCCACCAGGCAGCATTGCCAAGCAGCTCACCCCTCTGCAGCAGCACCACGGGGTTTTGCATGGGCAAGTATTCCTCTTAACTTCCCAGCCTTATCTTACTAACGTCACATTAGACAAAACACGATTTGCACTTTAGGAACACCAAGGTGCCTGACCATGGCTCTGGATCCCCCTGTGCTGGGTCTGTACAAAAGCAAAACAGAAAGCCCTGCCTCTGGGGATCTTAAATGCACATACCTAATCTGCCTCAGGAACTGCCAAAACTAACAGACATCAGGGTATTTTCCTCCAAGGATGTGACCGTTTCTCAGAAGGTTTTTGGGATTAAAGGCTGCAGACTCACTTATTGCAAAACAAAACAGTCTAGGCTTTCCTGCCCCAACCTGCTGCACTTAGCCAGATGCACAGTCCTGAGAAGCACAAAAGCTCTCTTGAAAACGAAAGCAGCTCAGAAAAATAACTCTTCTCTTGGGACCCCAGGTGTGAAGCCTCACTGAGCCTAAGAAACCCTGAAAGAAGCAAGAAATCAGAACAAAATAAGCCATTGAGCTCCCTCTGGTCTCCAGTGTGAGGTACTTAAACCTCCTCACTCTGTAATTAACAGCTGGTTGGTAGGAATATTCTGGCATGCATAGAGCCCGACAGTGGCACAGCAAAACACTGACGAGTTCAACGCAGGTCGCCTGGACCCCAGTGAAGTGGATTCCTCCGATTCACATGGATGCTGTTTCCAAGGGGCTGTTCAGAAGGAGGCAGGGCTAACTGGATGTGCTGGGATGGAAGAGAACCACCTCCCCAAGGGAGGGATGCATCTTCCTCTGACAAGGTGTGGGGTCAAGCAGGGACGACCATTTTGTCCCCTTCCCAGGCCACACTCCCTTCTCGTCCAAACTTTGCAACTCCGTTCCAAGTTAGCAAGGCCTCCAGGGTCCAAGGGCCCTGCCATAAAGCACCAGTGTCCTCCATGCATCCAGGCACCCTGCAGTTATTTCCCCGAAGCAAGGAGAAACTCCCCACAGAAGACCTGTGATGTCCCACGCTGAGCCAGTGAGCCCTGCCCCTTGCCAAACCCTTTCCCTGAGCTGCACAGAGACAATCCCCTGCTATGCCTAATGCAGATTTCAGCGCACCGATCCCAATGTGCTCAGGCAGCCAGCGATGATCTCATTGCTGAAGACCGGAGAGGGAGGGCTGGCTTTCACGGGGTGGTGAGCAGGGCTGGGACCTGGCTGCAGTTTGCTCATCTGATGGATGAGAGGTGGCAGGCAAGTGACCTGGGAAAAGATGCGGTTTCGTGCCATGGTCACTGGGGGACATGGGGACCTGCGAGCTACGGGATGCAGGGTGTCCTCCACCCACAGCCCGCACCTAAGCGACAGGTTCAGCCCATGTTTCTGGGCCTGGGAGCATCTGAAACTGTGCCGAGAGTTTTTGGGCAGACAGGCAAGAAGAAGGCACAGTCACCCCTTCTCCCAGGACTGCTTGTGGGACTCTGGTCCCTGTCCCTTTCTGGCCATCTGTCTGTGCTAAGTTAGGAAACTTAGCCTGAATCAACAGCAGGTATAAAATTAATGTGGATCAATTAAACTGAATCAAATCTTTTTAACTTGCTCACTTCCTAAGCAAATGATCTGAAAAAAAACATAAAGGCCATTTAAAATCTGACTGAATGGAGCTCAACTAACCCACTTTAAATGATAGTTTGGGTAAATCGGTGCTGGTTCCCATAGGTAAACAAGCCCAAAGTCTTGGTAAAAGATGCAGCCTGCCCCTGAAAGGTGCAGATCAGCAGCACTGTCTCTGAACCAGCAGCCCACCAGGTAGGTTAGTGTCAATCTTTCCTCATCTACAAGAGCATCAGGTATAAAGCCAGAAGTAAGATGACAACCTGGGCACTCTAGCGCATGCAAAGGGGAATGGGATTTGCAAAAGATGTGAACTATCACATCATGGGAAAAGCACATCAAAATACACAGAAGACTTGCAGAGATGAGGGGAAAGGTGTTTTGGCTACCCCGGGGCCAGACAGGGCAGGCCAGCCCAGTTCATCCTGCGTCACTGCGAGGTGCCCACAGCACCTGGGGATACTCAGTCCTGCAGAGATGCTCCTGCAGGGCTGGGGTTGCCCCCGGGCTTGGAGGACCTCGCCGGGTGCTCACGGGAGGAGATACGAAGCTGTGGGCGTGCAAATGTGAGGGCCTGTTTGATTCTGCTCAGCATTTCATGTGGATTACGGTGAGCCCTGACACTCTGCGAACAATGAGGCTGCATGGGATATCAAAGCAAATTAAAGTGAGACCGCAGACACGGCGGCTGCCTTTGACGAGCCTCCCGCCTTTTTTTATAAATATATTTAAACACTGCCTCTGCCAAAACAAGCTTTGATCTCCCAAGGAAAGGGGCCAGAACCCTTCACTGCTTGCCTGACTTACAACTTTTAATTACTTTGCTAAGTGTGAACTCTCCTCTCAAAGCTCTGTTACACTCACGAGGCAGAGCTGCACTCAGATCTTGGATTATTCATCCTCCTTCCTCCCCCTCACCATCACTTCTTTGTGGCCTTGCACTCCAGAGGCCAGATTTGGCTCTGATTTAAGCCAATGCAAACTGGGAGTTGTTCAGGCTTCGCAGCCTGAACACTGAGACCTTATTTGGCCTCAGAGGACAGACCAGGCAGCAGCGGTTTTGGGGCAAAGCCTTGGCATGGATATAAGTTATTGCTAGATGCCCCCAGCTCTTAGCAAAGCAAACGGGAGTCACCAAGACCTGATACCTCTGAAAATCTGGGGTATGGAGAGGAACGTGTGACTGGGGAAGACCAGGAAGGAAGGAAAGAGTCCCTTAATGTGAGGCTGGAGCAGCCACAGAGAAGGTTCCCCACCTCCGAGGATATGGAGACGGCGCTGGCCTTTGTCAAGGATATCAGATATTGCACAGAGCCCAGTCTGGGCTCTCCTTAACCCAGGGCTTCCTTCCACCGCTGCCTCTGCAGCTTAGCAGCCGCCGTGGCCGAGGAAAGGCTGTGCGGCCCAGGGGAGGGATGCTCGGCGGGGTGGGGGGTCATTGGGCGCCCCAGTTCAGGCTGTGAGCGAATTAGGCTCTGACCACAGGCACCCCCTTTCCCTTGCTGCATCGTCAGGCTCTGCCAAGGTGACATTGCCCACGACGGGATGTGTCCAGGCTGGAAAGCTGTTTGCTTTTCCATTTGCCAGCTCTGCTTCTCTCAGGCCTCATTTTATCGGCCTCTGTGGGTGAGGTCATGAGAATTACGGGATGGAGAGGACAGAGCTGGGGATTTCCCACGGCACCACCAACAGACGAGGCAGGTTGCTACCCACGAGAAGGCCTTGCCTCGTCCCGTTGCCAGAGCCAGAGCAGCTCTGCACATGCTTTTGGAGCACCTCATGAAAAGGTCTTCTGGCCTCTGCATCACCCTCCTCCCCAAGGACAGGCAGAGGCACTCACAGCCACCCAAGTGTAGGATTTGCAGACTGCCATGCCCTGTGAATGCTGATAACCTGTGATTTCTGATGCTGGACAGGAAATAAAAACTGCAAGTGATTCCCTGAGGAGCTGTGTGAGGTGATGAAAGAAAAAATGATGTGCTGATCTCTGCTGTGATTAGCACTCCTTTCTGGAGTGATCAGAGTGCCTGAATTGTCACAGGTCATCTGCTCACTGGGAGAGAAAGGATCACTGCCGGAAAGCCTGCCTGCCATGCAGATGGCAGAGACAGCCCCAGGAGCACGTTCAGAGCTCCTGAGCAAGGAAGGTGAAACGAGAAGCAAAGCTTTTCACCGTTTCATGGGCAAGAGAAGCAGCACGAGTGACTGCCATAGTTCTAGTCTCAGCTCTGCTACCAGCTTTCTGCACAACTGTAGTAAAGTCATTTTGCATCTCTGCACCTTGATTTCTGCATCTGTAAAATGGAGGAGACCAACCCCTCAGACAGAACTAAGATCAGAGCCCTCTCCAGACCAGGCAGCTCCCATGAGGTCAAACCTCACCACCAAACCCTACAAAAGACCAGCTTGCACATAAACCCCCTTCCCATTCCTTCCAGCACCACCAAAATGACTCTGTCCCTATACATCTGAAGCATCACACTCCCCCACACCATGCCCAAGCGCCTCCTCGCCCTGGGGTGCTGGGGCTCATGTCCCCCCAGCTCTGCCCCCCGGCACTGGTGCCTCCACCTCCCCTCTGCTGAGCTCCCACCGAGTCCTCTTGGCCCAGGGCTGTGGGCAAACAGCTCCCGGCCACGATGGTTTATTCAACGGCCAAAGAGATGCCTCAGACAAATGTGGTTGTCAGGGCTCTTCATAAACAACAGCCGCAGCCTGCAGGAAACGGGGATTAAGGGCACTGTGGAGGTGACTTCTCAGGGTTGTTTACAATCCCCAAGGGAAACTTAATCAGAGATCTCAGGCAGCAGGGAGCGGGCTCAGGGTGATGCGTACAGCGCGAGCAGCGCGCTTTGCCTGTGCTGTGTGGGAGAGGGCTCGGGTGCAAACTGGGAACCGTGCACCAGGGAGCAGGGAGCAGCAGGGAGGCAAAGCCGTGGCAGGACGCGCCACATCCAGGCAGGGAGGGACGTACGGACCGCTGGGGGCTGGCAGCTGGGCGTCCCGTAGCAGCACATGAGGAGCCATACCCTGTGGCATGGTGCTGGCAGACCCCAAGCTCCTGATGCATTCCTGGGTCCAGGCAGGAGGATCTCCTAATCATACCATGTCACGCTCTAGTACTGGTCCAGCCTTCACCCACGGCATCGGGAACATCCTCGGTCCTGGCCTCAGGCTCAGTCCACTCTGACTTTGCTCTTACTCTTTGCTGGCTACTTCAAGAACGAGACCAAAAGCTGGGGCGGGGGGATAGGCAGATGCTGCATGCACTGGTTTGCCATTCAAGGGCAAAGGAAGAACCATGACTGAAGCTTCGTTAAAGCAGAAGAACCGGGAAATCACCTCTCCGACAAAGCCTCAGTTTGCACAGCGGAGATAACGAGTGCAGGCTCAGACATCCCAGAGCACAGGTCCCCCAAGGAAGGCAACAGCAGCAGCAGCTGCCACGACTTTCTTAGCTTTGCACCATTTTATCCCCACAGCTTCTGCACATCTAATTAAGGGCTCAAGTCTAATTATAGCCCTTGCTGCTTGCTAGGGTGTGAGGGGAGGTGTGTGCAGGGGGGAGCAGGGAAGGAAGCCACGAAGGGATGCTGTTCAGGGCAGCCTGGGTCTCTGGAGGGATAAAGAAGAGCACCAGGAGCCGCAGGAGTGAGGAAAGCCAGCTCTGAATTAGGTTACTGCGTCTCTTCTTTCAGGCAAGTTACCTGGCAGAGGGACAATCCCTCCCTGCTGGGGCAGATGCGAGTGCCAGGTAGTTACATCACAGCCTCAACCCCTGCTTGCAGCAAAAGTTTTTAGCACTTGTGGCTGCAGGGTGAGGGGAAAAAGAGCTTGAACGTGACCTGAGTGGAGCTGAGGGCACTGACACATGATCGGGCTGGCCTGTGGCAAAGCAAGTTTTTTTGGTAGGAGGCAGCGGCAAACGCATGACGTCATTGAGTTCAGCCTTGCACCCGCAGCAGCGAATTTACCCCTGGATGAATCATGACTTTATCAGGTTACCAAACGCCTGCCTGCCAGCGGCTCTGCCTGCTTGTCCATGCACGGCTGTCTTGGTGTGATCTGCTCCCAGTTTCTGCCTCCAGTATTGCCTCTCCCTTGATATGCCCATCGCTGCAGACAGCAGAGCCTGCCCCAGCCTGCAGTGAGGCGGCTGCTCTGTTTGCAGAAGGGATGTGCCCGTTCTGCTCACGGAGGTGTTAACCCTAAACCTCCCTGCTCCCTGGGTCCTTGAAAACTGCAGCCCAGGAGAAGGCTGTTGGGTCTGGGAGCAAAGTATGGTTCAGCGAGCCCCAGAAGCTCCCCTGAACAGAGCGCGCAGTGCCTTTGGCTTCGTGGAAGTGTGAGCCTGTAGCCCTGGAGAGGGTTCAGACACCACTGTCACTTTTGGGCAGGCAGAAATGCTTTCACACTCTCTACCTTAACCACAGATGTGTCCTTCCTCTCCGTTTTGTGGAAATACCCTTCCCTCCTATAAGGTTTTCCTCTTGCAAGTATAAATCTCTCTTCAGAGCAGATTTAATGACAAGGTGTTAATAATCCTGCTGGATAAAAGGGGAAAGCAACACAGATAAAGGGGCAGTAACTTTCCATATGTCAACACACCCAGAGAAAGGCCAGGGGTGGGGGCTGGAGTGGAGATGCTTGCTGGCAGTGCTGACCTCAGATGCTCCCGACCAGCCCCAGCACCGTGGCAGGGGCCCAGAGGCTCCTTACCTTCATTTCTCCGGTTGTTGAGCTGGTTGAACTGCTCCGTGAACTCTGTCAGTGACTCCTCGATGGTCTCTGTTCGCGGAACCGAGAGTGAAAACCTCCGCTTGAAGTTTTTCATCTTGTTCATTTTACCTTGTGCTGAGAGGGATGGCAGAGCCCTGTGGGGAAGGGAAAAGAGCAGGCTGAGAGGGCTGGACAATGCACGGGACTGCCCTCCGGCCCCCCAGCTCCTGCTCTTTGAGGCTGGTAGCGCCTCGATCTGCATTTCCCCTGCTGGGGATCTTCAGGGGTCCCTGGGGACATCCTCTCCTCCAAGACACCGCTGCTGCATCAGAGAGAAAGAGGAGCCGGGTGGTCACCAGGGGAATCAGGTTCCCCAGGAATTTAAGAGCTGACTGTGGTCAAGAGGTGCAGGGGGCTTTTTCTGAGCTAGTTATGAGAGATGAGGCCAGAGCAGGGCTGTGCACACTGAACTAGGAGTACCAACACAAGCTGCGCCTTACAGCATCCTTGGAAACTGCAGGAATGTCTGGAACAGGGAGAAGCAGGGCAGAAACAGAAGGAAAGCAACAAAGAGTAAACAGTGATGGAAAAGATCCAATGCCACACTCATCCCTGCACAAGGAGGCACCTCTCCCCCAGCAGTTTGGCCTCTGCTTTGCCCTTGCAAGAAAGACTTCCTGAGCCAGCAGCAGGAGAGGTGTGGAGGGAGCCAGCACTGGCTGGGGGGATCCCCGAGAGTCACAGCAAGGGGAGATGCTTTGAGCTCCCAGCTTGCTCACAAGCTCTTGAATGACTCATCCTGTACAGGCATTAGAATCACCTTAGCCAGGGATCTGATTAAAGCAATAAAACCCTTAAACAAAGAAAACCCTCAAGGGGCACACGGCAAAGCGTGCAGAGCCCAAGCAGCCACACGAGCAGGCTGAGGGAGCTCGCTCTGGGCATCTCGGAGCCACACGCCGCTTTGCCTTTCCTACTTTGGCTCTTGCCAGGCCTGTCTGGAGCTCAGCAGCACAGATGGAACCGGTGTGCACAATTCGGTCTTTAGCACCAGCCCCGCTGCAGTCAGGCATCATTCCTCCTGCCAAGCACAGACCTAGCAAACAGCCAATGCTCCTCACTCACTGGACCTGCAGACGTCAGTGTCTCATCCCCAACCAGACACAGCTCTGCCCTTTCCAGTCCCAGACCACAGGAGGTTTGGGTCCATCCCTCTCCCCTTCCCAATCTGATGAGCATAGGGCTGCTTCTCTGCAAGCCCTTACAGTCTCAACCCTCTAACCTGTCTGGCGGGGGATTTTCCATTAACATCACTGGACTCCTTTAATGATACTCTCACCCACCAGCCCAAGGGGAGATCTTAAGGGGAAAATCATCCCTTGGTACCAAACAGGCATCAAAAGCTACACAGAGCAGTTCTTTCCTGCGCCGGCACACACATCCCGCGACTTCTCCTGCACCCCTGGAGCAGGTCGCTGCCCCTGTTCCTGGGTGTCCCCACTGCAACTGAGCAGCCCTCTTTCCTGGCTCTCCCCACTCCCTCCCAGCCCCCTCCGGGGTTTATCAGCACAAACAAACGGTGATCACATTCCAGACTGATGCGATCAGACAGCATCCGGGAGCTAATGCATTGCGTCGCCAGGGCAACGGGAACACTTGGGTTGACATGCCTGCATCTGAAAGCTTAAAAGATTATCCGTCAGCAATACAAACACTCTGTTTGGGTGTCTGCCACGCTCTGCTGTGAGGCATGGCCCCTTGCTGTGGGTGCAATCCCCTGAAAATCCCTGGGATTCACCTGAATCCTAGGGACTCACACCCCTCAACCATCCCCACTCATCTCCCACCTTTAATGCTGCAAAAACCTACAGAAGAAGGTTCACCAGCAATGCTTGTGTACCTGGAATCAGGGCTGGGGTATTTGGCCATCAGTGGGAAGGGAGGCTGGAGGCCGCTTTGAGTTGCAAAGCGAGGCAGGAGGATACTAGACACATCCCCTTCAGGCTTCAGACATTTAAATGTTTTCTCGGCACTACAGAAACACGCTTTGACAATGAAGATGCTGGCACTAGTGAATGCTGTATTAACAAAGTCTCCATGCTGGTGCCATAATAACCAGATGCCCATAACCTCCAGAAGGGCCCTCAACTCCAGGACCAGGGAAGATACAGGGCATAGAAAAGATACCCCATCTCCAGGTGAATGAAGAAGCAGATGAGGGGAAAGGGTCTTTCCACCTCTGCCCTTTCCACTCACCCTTCTTAAAACAGCGTGAGTGGTTTAGAAGGCAAACATCTTAGCACCGACAAAAATTTGTGCTCCACAAATTGCAGTCCGAATCCTTCCCCCGCTTGCCACTCACTGGAGTGCCAGCAGCTACAGGCTGCTAAATATAAACCTCCTCACAGAGGAAGTGGGGTGGGGGTAAAAATAGCAGCGACGTCGCTAGCTACCTCTCCTGCGATGCACAATCCTGCCCTGTACTCATTATCTTTATGGCTCTGTGCAATTGTGGCTGTTTTTTCCAGCTAGACCTGGACCTACTTGGCATCTGGTGATGGAGTTCACATTAAAGTGTTTGTCAGCCGGAATTTATGGAACTGCTCTTGTTCTCGGCCCTCCACTCCTCCCAGAGAGGAATTCATCCTGCCCTGAGTCGCCATTTGGATCCAGGTGGCCTAAAGCTGGGATTTGCTCCCCTCCTGCAAGCACAGCATCCCGCAACCTGCGTGCCAGAAGACCACAGCACATCGCATGGGGCAGGTAGTGCTGGGTCCCTGGCAGACACCCCGCCCCTGGGCAGCACCCTGGGGTGCAAGGGCCTTCACCCACCCTTTGGCCACATTCCTTTTGAGAGAAGGCACCCCCTTTCACAGCAAAACGGAGCAGCCCGGCCCTCTCTCACGGCACAGATTTCAACGGAAGAATTACTAGCAACTGCCTCTTGTTTTCTACCATGTTTCGCAGGACTGTACTAAAGGAAGTGGAGGCATTTATTGACTTTCTGAGAGAAAGTGCCACTTGCTAGGCAAAGCAATGACATCACTTGTTTTACAGCCTGAAGGATCTCGAAGGGAATTACAGCAACCCTTGAACTATAGTCGTCTCTGGGATGGAGGAAGCTGGCTGATTAACAACATGCAGAAACATGACGTTGCATGGTAGGACATGGCGGAAGAAGCAGTCTAAAATGGCAATAAGGAATTTAGGCATCAACTGGCAAAAATGAATTTACTCAAGCTGGAATTTGGCCAAGGAACAGGGATTAAAGCCAGCAGTGTGAATGATCTGCTTTTACTGTAATATAGTCAGATAGTAAATACTTGTCTAAAACACTTCAAAGAGCCCAAAGCTGAATCCTGTCAGGAAAGCTCATCACATGGTCAAGACAAGATGTTAACGATTCTTTAAACACTGCATTCAAAGCCATATTCACTGCACTAGCAATAACTGCGCTCACTATTTTTCAGCAAACTATTCCCATAGGCATTCAGGCTGTGACTATCCACATGAATCTCTCCTGCATTCGTACAGCAAAACCCGCTGGCTCTCTGCTGTGGAATTCAAGAGACAGGTATTTTAGGCACAGACAAGCCATCAAGAGTGCATGAAACTGTCCCCTTTCTCCTTCAGCATATTGCAGGGGCTCAGAAGCCAGGCTTTCAAGCAATAACTACTTTATTGCTTTTCACAAATGATAAGTGACTCCATTTTTTTCTTACCATTTTAGCAGACTCCTGCCCCCATTTCCCAGCTGAAAGGGTGGAAGGCTTGGAGGGAATAGTATGCGTTTTTTAAGCTTTTTTTTTTTTTATCCCCAGAGAGATTAACAGTTGTGTTTACAAGGCAAAATGAACAGTCCTATTCAGCAGTTACAGCTCATGCTTCTAGTTATTAGGTAGCATTGATTCACTCCTGCAAGGATCAGAGAAATGGTTAATTCTGCTCGTAGAGCCTTATTTGCTCTGCAAACCCAGCTATCATGCAACACTGCATGTGGCTACAGGGCTAAACAAACAACGAAGCGAGGCACCAGTTGAATACGTGCCCCTCCTCACATCGCAAGGCATGGAGACAAAAGTCAGACCCAACAAAAGCTCACCAGCATAGCCCATGTGCCAAGCAGCCCTCTCCACCGGCCAGCGCAGACCTCGGCTTTGGCCAGCAGATGTGCTCCCTCGCCAGCTCCAGCGCTGAGGGAGGGGCAGAGAAAAGTCCATGAGCTGCCAAGAGCACTGTGCACAGGCAATGGGAGAGATTCCGGCCCCTCCATGGTGCACATTCCTGTGCAAACAGGAGCTCAGCGCAACCCGAATTCCTCCTCCACTCCGAACTTCCTTGGCAGGGCCAGAGCCAGGTCCTTGGGAGATGTACGGAGAGGGTCGGGGAGAGATTTGAGGCTGTTCTGGGGAGTCTCAGGGAAATTACAGCGTGCTGGGGATGACTCTAACATATGCCAGGGGCGATGCTGAATTTTCCGCAGCAGCTGGGAATCCTACCGGGGCAAGCTCGGAGGGGCAGGGAAGGATATCGGCCTCTGACCACCACATGAACCTCTCCCCGGCTGCTCAGCTGTCAGCATGAAATCATCCCTGGGGTAACAAGCTCCCAGACGCTCCCTCCCCTTGGCAGATGCTGTAAAGCACAGCCCGAGCACCCGGGGAGGTTAGTGCAGAGTGAACCGCAGTGAAGACCGGCAATGGCCGTGCAGAGCTGGGGCCACATACTGCTCAGCCTCTGGGACGGGCAGTGGATGCTGCCCATCAGACAGAGCAGTTTGCAGCAATTACTCTCCCCAAAAGGTGAGTGATGAGGGGAGAGAGCAAGGCCAGCTCCCCTCCCTCCATACTGGCTTCCCACCACTCAACTCTGCTATTCAGGGGGCCTGACATTTCCCTCCTACGCACAGAGCAAAGCCCTTGCCAGGAGGTCAAGATCCTGCAAAGAAGGGAGTGCAATCAACTCCTATTAATCTACAGGAGCCCTATGGCAAAGAGCAAGACCATCAGCCCAGGGCAGCGACTGCGCTGGGCATGATTGAAGAGGGAACTCGGGGTCCCCAGGGAGACAGTCCATCCTTGTGTTGCAATTTTTTTTCTTCTACACTACTGGCTTCCATGATTA